AACACCTTCAGCAAACTAGCAGGATACAAGATAAACTCAAAAAAAAAAAAAAATCAGTAGCCCTACTTTTTTCAGATGACAAAGAGACAGAGAAAGAAATCAGAGAAACATCATCCTTTACAATAGCCACAAGCAACATAAAATAGCTTGGTGTAACGCTTACAAAACAAGTAATAATAATAAGAACTTTGTGGCTTTAAAGAAAGAAATTAAAGAAGATACCAGAAAATGGAAATATCTCCCATGCTCTTGGATAGGTAGGATAAACATAGTAAAAATGGCAATCTTGCCAAAAGCAATCTACAGATTCAATGCAATCCCCATTAAAATCCCACCACAATTCTTTACTGACCTTGAAAGGATAATAATCAACTTTATATGGAAAAACAAAAGACCCAGGATAGCCAAAACAACCCTATACAATAAAAGAACTTCAGGAGGCATAACCATTCCTGACTTTAAGCTCTACTACAGAGCTATAGTTCTGAAAACAGACTGGTATTGGCACAAAAATAGACAGGTAGACCAATGGAATCGAATTGAAAATCCTGACATTAACCCGCACACCTATGAACACCTGATTTTTGACAAAACAACTAAAATTATACAATGGGGCAAGGACGGCATCTTCAACAAATGGTGCTGGCACAATTAGATGAGGGTGTGTAAAAGACTGCAGATAGACCCATGTCTGTCGCCATGCACAAAACTCAAGTCCAAATGGATCAAAGACCTCAACATCAATCCAGCCACATTGAACCTCTTAGAAGAGAAAGTAGGAGGTACCCTTGAACAAACTGGTATAGGAGACCGCTTCCTGAACATAACTCCAGGGGCACAGACACTGAGAGCAACAATTAATAAATGGGACCTCTTCTAACTTAGAAGCTTTAGTAAGGCAAAGGACACAATGGACAAGACCAAATGGCAGCTCACAGACTGGGAAAAGATTTTCACCAATCCTATATCCGACAAAGGGCTGATCTCCAAAATATACAAAGAACTCAAGAAACTAGTCAACAAAACACCAAATAACCCTATTAAAAAATGGGGTACAGAACTGAAGAAAGAATTCTCAATAGAGGAAATCAAAAAGGCTGAAAGACACTTAAGAAAGTGCTCAACATCCTTAGCTATCAGGGAAATGCAAATCAAAACAACTTTGAGATACCATCTTACTCCTGCCAGAAACACCAATGAGGACTCATGCTGGAGAGGATGTGGAGAAAGGGGAACACTCCTCCACTGCTGGTGGGAGTGCAAACTCGTACAGCCATTTTGGAGATCAGTATGGTGGTTCCTCAGGAAAATGGGAATTAGTTTACCACAGGACCCGGCAATCCCCCTCTTAGGCATATACCCAAATGATCCACATCCATGCAACAAAGACATCTGTTCAACTATGTTCATAGCAGCACTATTTGTAATAGCAAGAACCTGGAAGCAACCTAGATGCCCCTCAATTGAAGAATGGTTAATGAAGATGTGGCACATCTACACAATGGAATACTACTCTGCAGAAAAAAATAATGTTATCTTGAAATTCGCAGGCAAATGGATGGCACTTGAAGAAACCATCCTGAATGAGGTAAACTAGTCACAAAAAGAGGAACATAGTATGTACTCACTCATATATAGATTTTGGACCTAGAGCAAAGGATCACCAGCCTATAATTCACACCACCAGAGGAACTAGGATACAAGGTGTATTCTAAGAGATTCATATAAAGTTCCTCACAGAACCAGGAAAGTACAAGTCCCCCAGAGCACAGGGGAAGTGGGGGGGGCAGTGAATGGAGAGAGAAGTAGGAGAAAGCGAGGGGGAGGAGAGGAAAACACATGCAACCAGGAAGATTGAGCCCGGTTAGGGATAGAAGACAGGAGAGAGAGAGAGAGAGAGAGAGAGATAGAGAGAGAGAGAGAGAGAGAGAACATAAAAGAGGGAGCCAATATTGGTTTGAAGATAAAATTGAACACAAAGAAAGGTCTAGAGAACTACAAGACTGCTGCCAACTAACAATTTGAGCATCTGTGGAAAGGCTACCATAAATGCCCTTCCCGGATAGTGAGATCAACAACTAACTTATCCATGGAGCCCTCATCTAATACCTGGAAACAGGAGCAAACACCCATACATAAACACTGAGTTGAACTAGAACCCAGATGCAGATGGAGAGGACAAGACCAGGCTGCAGAAACACATACAGACAGCTTACCTGAATATGGAGGAGCTAATGGACCCCCAGAAGCCAGCATGGGACTGACTCGGGCCCCCCTGAATATGGGTCTCAGCCAAAGGGACTGAGCAGTCTAAGGGACTTCAGACATGGAGCCAGGATGTATCCCTGGTGGACAAAAGGATCTTGCAAACACATCCCCCACGGAGGCATAACTGCCTTAACCTAAAGACAGGAGAGAAGCCCTAGTCCCTACTTCACATGACCTGTCAGATCTACATGACCCCAACTGGATGGCATTCCCCTACATATGGAATTGGGGTGGGGGGATGGGAGGGGAGGGTGGTTAGGGTGCATATGAGAGGGCAGAGAGGGTGAAAGTGAGGGAGGGAGGGAATGAGGAAGGGAAGGAGAGGGAACTGGGATCAACTGTAAAATAATAAATTAAATTGAAAAAATGAAAAATAAAAAAAAAAGAAACCATGAATCAAATTTGGTAAAGATTAGATTAGGAAGCTCCCCAAAGTTAGGGTTGGAGAAGGGTTTTGTTTCTGTCTTTTCCGGAAAATAAAAAGGACCATGTTGAGGAATTTTAAGACCTTTTGACAAATAAGCATCCAAAAAAAGGGGGGGGGAGAATTACTCACAAAAAAGTTACCTAATTCATTTTCTAAAATCTCCAAAAGGAAGACTGGATCCAAGCCAGCTGGAGATCACACATGCTCTTAATCCTACCACTCGGGAGGCATAAGCATGCAGATCTCAGTGACTTTGAGACCAGCCTGGTCTAAAAAGTGTGTTTTGGGACAGCCAGGACTGTTAACACAAGAGAAACCTGTCTTGAAAAACAAAACAAATAAACAAAAACGAAGGTGCAACCCCACAGATGCAACCCCAGGACTATGACAGCACCAATAACCAGGACAACTCCAACTAAATATCGGCTTGAGACTACAAACTGCTCAGAGCAATTTTGAGGAAGCCACCTGAGATGATCAAGCCTCACAGACACTACCCAGAATAATTTTGATGTGGCTAGCTGAGGTAATCCAGCCTCACAGACTGCTCTACCCTAGATTTGAGACAAGCCCTATACTTGTCCAAAAATACTGGACAAAAATGATACAGCTCAACAATCAACCCAGATTTTTTTCCAGGGTTCCCTAAAGATGCCACCACTCCCAAGCAGCAGGAAATAACTTTATGAACATGATACCTGCATTCTCAAGAGATAGAGAGGGTGGTTTGTAGTAACTCATTGGGTTATGAATATTTGTTATTGTTTAGGGAGACTGGATACAAAATGTTCTGGGTTATGGTCAGGAAGAAAGTGAACAAAGGGGATTAGATTAAAAGTTTTTGTTCAGCTTGAAGCTTGAACCCCAATATCAATTTCTGGATCTTTTATTATTTAGTTGTACTTAAGCAGTGAAGAAAACCATAAAAAAACAGAAAGCTGGTGAAAATGTATTTGAATAAGCAGACCAAGTTCCAGCCCAACAATCAACAGAACTTGGCAGCTTAGACCACCTGGTTCTGGATTTAGAGTCAAGGACACAAAACAGAGGCTGTGGTATAGTGGGTTATCCATCAGAGAATACTTCTCAGACATGAGTTTAAGCCAATGGAAAGTCTTCATTAGATGGCCAGAGACTCCACTGGGTGCTCAGGAGCTCAGTGTAGCTCTGAGCCTTTCTCAGGGTTTTAAGCCTGTCTCTGAGCTTTTAAGGCAAAAACCATGCCGGGGATTTGCATGCTTCAATTAATAAGGACAGTTGGCCAGAAGTGGAACTACAGAAACTAAAAAGCAAGATTTAGTACAGTTTGACCTTAGTGGATTAGGCCTTTGTTTTAGTTTTTGCAGATTGTGTTGTCTGCCTGCTGAGTTTTACAGTCTGAATGCTACTTCCATGATGGAGTCAGTTGTGCTAAGTCCTGTTACACTGGACATTGGTTTAAGTCAATAAAAAGTCTTTATTAGGCAGCCAGTGACTACAGTCGGTTTTTGGTAGTTGAATGCAGACCCAAGCCTTTCTCATTGTGAGCTTTTAGACACAAAAACCATATTGTGGGTTGACATATTCTGTTAACAAAGTAAATTACCCAAAAAGAGAACTACAGAAGCCAAAAAAGCTAGGTTAGTACATTTAGACACTTTCCTAGAACTATGGACTTTGATGCATTGAGTGTTTGTTTTTGTTTTGGTGGGTGGTTCTGTCTACATTCTGAGCTTTATGGCTTTAATGGTGCTTCCATCACAGAATCATTTCTGCCAAGGTCTGGGGGCCTGTTACATTCCCCACTAATCTAAGTGAATGAGTCAAATATTCTCAGATTCAGGTTACCTACATTGATCCAATCAGAAGGAGAATGAAAGGGATAGTCAGTGCTGATGGCAGAGTAGTTAGTGAAGGGGGCCAAGAGAACAGAGACTGATACCAATAATCTAATCTAATCTATCTATCTATCTATCTATCTATCTATCTATCTATCTTTCTTTCTTTCTTCCTCTCTCTCTCCAGTGTGATTTTTTGTATTTACTCCTGAACAACCAGCATATAAGCAACAGGTTTCTCCCAAACTCACATATAATCAATCCCCTTTGTCTCATGAGAAGTAAGTCTAAGCCTTTCTGATTTTCGGGGCACTAGATCAGTACTTATGTTTATAATCCACTCAATTTGTCCTGCAGGGTCATCTGTGACAAATGTACGATACGACATGAACTTCTTCATTTGTATCAGTGTGAGTATCAGACCTCATACCTTAGGAGAGCTTCTCAAATAATAAGACCTATAGAAATACCCAGTCTCAGAAATCAAGGTGTGGTTATAGACAGTTTATTTCTCTATATTGTATCATTCATCACATATTGTGTGCTTTAAAATTATAACTGCTATAAATGCAGGTGAAGATAGATAGATAGAAGATAGAAAAGTGTCGAAGAGTAGTAAATTTAAAGTCAGAACATAAAATTTCACCCACAGATCCAGTAAGTTCTTTAGATTCCTATGGACTTCGTTAATGTTAAAGTAGATCTTCTCCAGAATGATCACAGCCTTCTTTCTCCCACAGACCTTAGAGAACCTGCCAAGTTCTAGCCCTTTGGCCTCCCTTCAACACTCAGCACCATGAACTACAGGCAGGAGATGACTACAGCTCAGCAAGAGAAAACAGCTGGACCAGGAGACCAGGTAGCACCACAAGCAGCAGGAATGCAGGGCTGTCTCTGGCTCCTGTAGATGGGAGGAGAAGGAAAGGTTTCCATGTGAGATGTCTTAAGACACAGATGTCTCCGAAACATTCAGAACTTTACATCCAGCTCAAAACCCAGGGGAGTAGGCTCTAGGGGCCAGTGTGTCAGGGTAGACTCCTCTGGCTTTCTCAGGATTCCTAAAGAACTCAAGTACCAGGAGGTGAACAAACTGATGGATTGACAGCTTCCAGGGTTCTGTGCTCTAAGACACTGGCTGGGGAGAAAAACCTTTTCTATCTGGACTCTTCCTGGCCTTCTAGGGAGCCCTGTGTGCTTTTCCTTCTTCACCCAAGGAGAGGTTTCTGAATGTGAACCTTGTGAAAGTCCATTGTTACAGCAATGTGTATTCCTTCTATGTCAGCTGGTGTGAACGAGAAGCTCAGCCTGCCTGGACTGGATATCAATGTTTCTCCCAGATGGACAGCGTCTTTCTGGCTAGACTGTGTACCTGGGTTGGGTCTTGCTTTCCTCAGGCCTCATCCTAACTCTGAACTTCTCTATGTAAATGCATCAGATCCCTGTGATCACTTCCTGTAGTTTCACTTCCAGCTGCAAAGACTTCTCATGTTTCCAGAAACCCCTCTGAGTGTCAGGGCTGATTAGAGCAATGATTTCTCAGCACTCAGTAGTCTAACTGTAACTCATTTCAGGATGGCTCCCTGGCCTCTCAGTCAAACTTAATCTCTTAGGACAACATAGAGTGGAGCCTGGACGTAAGTAAGCAAGACACTGTGCATATCTGAGTGGTGGGAAGTAGGAGACAAGGTCTCCAGACTGTACCCAAGGGATCTTATTGTGAGTGTTGAGGCCAACTCCCAGCATGGCTTTGGATCTGATGACTGAGATGTTTACATACGTATTCATGTTTAAAGAGTAAATCGTATCTACATGCCAAGTCATATGTGTTGAATGCCTCTCTCTAAATTTTCAAATTTGTCATTTGGGTCTTTATCATTCAAATGGGAAAATGGAGGCACAAATATCTGGTAACTTGCCAAGAGTCACAGAACCAGTGATGTTTGATTACTCCAGATTATCATTGTTTCTGATTCCAGACCTATGACAGAGAGCAGGGTACATTAATTTTCTATGGAAATATTAGGGAAGTATTACTATGATAAGTGATATTTGAACGATGCCTTAAAAGTAATTACCAAACTTATATTGATGATTTAGAAAGAGACACATGGTGAAGGGATGATGAGAAAACCCAGGCCACAAGGAATAATGGGCATATAGCCATAGAGATCCCCAACCCCAGGGAAGCTTTGATTTGAAAGGATGGATAAATACCTACTCACTGATGGCACTGCTTGGGCCTGGAAATAGCTTTTTCCTGAATCCCTCACTGTGCTCAACCATGTCTGATAAACCTTCCCGGAGGTGTGTGCCCTTGGCTTTACCGATGCTACCCTTCGTCATTCTAGGCACCTTGGCCATGTATGTGGTCTACCAGGTGGCTTCTGGTAAGGAGCGCCCCCTCTTCCACTTCATGATGTCCCCACCAGCTCCACCTCTAACACAGTCCCAAACTCACCTGAACTTCTCAAATGACTATTGACTATGTTCGTAAAACCACTATAGAAGCAATTAAAGTTACTCTTCTTTCTTTGGGGAGAGTCCAGAGAAATTTCATCATACCCTTTTTCATTTTGTGTTACAATTACTTTGTGATACTCTTCATAACCTGGAATTAACACCTCCTTTTCAAAGGATAAGAAGGAGAATTCTTTAATATCAACCCCCAAGCATGTTTCAATCCTGAACAATGTCCCATGGTCACTTAAAAATGACTTTGAAACAGCTACGGCCTTAGCTGAAGATGAGGAAGCAAACTGCCCAAACCGCACAGAGCCCTTCCCGCTGTAAAGAAACTTGTTCTTGGTGCCTCGGTAAACTGTGTAACAACTCTTGTTATTCAGAAGCTGAAGAGCTCTTGTTAAGTAGTAATGGAAGGCCTTGTAATGAAAGTTATGGAAATCTTTCCTGAATTCTCTAACAGCTCTGTTAAAATCTTTGTGAATGTCCCCAGTGTAGGCTACTAAAGCCGTTCCGTGGAAATCATGGAAACCTTCTGGATAGCTTCTTGTCTTTTTCATCGCCTTCCATTTTTTCTCTGCCCTTTCCCACTCAAGTCTTAATTGCTCACTCATGTTGAAGTCTTCCTCTAACAATTGGGGTGCTTTCTTCTCCATTTCTTGGACACAGCCCTCATACTGATCATCAAATGCATTGGGAGCCATGTCCAGATTGGAAGGCTCAGTCAGGCCTGTCACCTGAAAGGAAGAAGTAGGGTTCTTTGTTACAACTTAAGTTTGCTAAGTTATCAGCATGTGCTGGGTGCTGGGTGCATGAGATATCACATACCCCAACTTCATACATGGCACATGCATGAGCACAGTATTATTATATTTTTAGGGGTACAAAAAGGCAAGGCTGAGATCTCTGGTTCTTTTGTGTTTATGATATTATAATTTTTCTTCTTCAATATTTTAGTCAAAATAACAGGCCTCATTTTCAGTTTCGTATACATATATCATGGTATATTACTGTAATCACTCACACACAACCTTGCCCCTTACTGATTTTATCTTTACCTTCAAGATTAATGCTCTCTAACATCCTGTAGCCACAGCCTCGGCCCTGTGAAGTGTAATATCACGAAAATGTGGGCAGGGGAAAGCAAGGTCAACAGGATGTGGGTTGAGAATATTACCTGCTTGGTTAACAACCAAGTTAGAAGAAACGTGTGAATTTTTGGTGCCATCTTCAAGTTCAAAAACAGCAGCTGCAAGCAAACATAAGACAATGAAATAGGGGTGTGCAGAGTACTGTAACAGTCTGTTGATGGATCAGCTCTGGGTTAATGACTGAATCTCCATTTCACATCTGGAGGTCTGGGCTCCTGCTCACACTGCTCCAAGAATAGCTTATCAGGACTCTGTGAACAGCTTTGCTTGGATTCCTTTCCAAAAATGTGGCCATTATCCTTGCTCCCTAATAAGGATCTACAATCTATCAGTCCTGGTAACACACAGAACTATGTATCATGTAGTTTCCAGGGAAAAACAGCCATATTTTAGCAGATCTGTCATCAGCCCTGAAGTTTTACTTTGCACAGATACTTACATTCTTCTATATTTTTGATTAGCTTGTGGCTCACACTCAGCTCAGTACATTTAAATGTCATTAATGCTGTCAGTGTTTATCACTATCATTACTAATATTCACCATGTTCTGTGATTTGGATGTGTTTGTCCTTTGCAGGTCCCCAGTGTGGCCATATGAAGGTAGAGAAACCTTTAAGAGGTGAGGTCTGCTGGGAAGTGACCAGGTCCTGGAGAAAATCACCTTCAGAAGAGATCATTTCACATGTGCAATCCTGCTCAGTTCCTACAGGAGCAAGTCTGACCCCAGAACCTTTCTGGCTCCCTCTATTGCCATGTATTCCCTTCTGCACATGGCAATGGCTTCTCTGCCCTATTGTGATTCTGCCAGGAAAACCCTAACTAGCCAGCATTGTCATGATATTTAGACTTTCCAGCTATGAGAATGTGAACTGAGTAAGCATATTTACTTTATAAACTTTCCAGTACCAAGCATTTTGTAATGTAATAGAAAACAAAAACTGATGACAACATTCAGTTGCAACTATAGAGATGAGTTTGATTCCCAGAACCCATGGGGGGGAAGTGGGGTGTGATGATATGCACTTGTACTCCTGCACTGGGCTGTGGAGAGAGATGGGGCTCTGAGATACCCTAGACTCGCTGGACAGCGGGATCAGCTATAGCCGGCTGGACAGTGAATCTGATTTACATAGCAGATATCTCCACTTTCTAGCTCTTTCTCTGGTCTCAGCTACAACCATCCCTTTCTTGTCTTAAAACTTAAGCTTCATAACTCTGCTTTGAAGACAGCATGTATGAGAAATCCCAGATGTAGGTGCTCACAGAAAGCCATCCTGTAGGGTTGGTCAGTCCGCAGAGGGACTTTCTCATTCAGGAAGCATGGCTCAGCCAGCCTGGAGTAAGTTTCCAATTCTCTCCTCCCCTCCCTAGTTCCTCATGTGCTTAATTCAGATATTTGCCTTTGACAAGTCTGGTGCCTACTTCTCTTTAGGACAGCTAAGTACAGCCTCCTTCACTGGCCCTGATGCCCCTCACACCCCACACAGACTGCAGATATGCAGCTTGAGTCACTACAGCCCCAGGATGAACTCCTGCAATATGTGCCTGCCAATTAAAATTCCCCCTGGAAATCTGTGTAGCTAACACCTCGGACCTCAATAAAGACATCCATCTCTCTCTTTTTCTTCATTCCCATCTCCTCATTCCTCACTCACTCCATTCTCGTTCCATTCTGCTTTATATGTGCAAGATCCTACAGCAACAGCAACAACAACAACAACAAAAAAGCCTATGTTCACCAACATGCAGGAAAATGGAGCAGAAGGACCTCAAGGTCTGGATTAGACTGGGCTATATAGCAAGAACATAGTCTTTAAAACTTTTTTTTTTAAATGGATAAATAAAACCAAAAAGAAGATAGAAACTCATGTTTGTGTGGAGCTGGGAGGAAAATGGGATTAATTAAGCATATCCCTGTACTGTCCTTAAAACCCAGGAAGTACAGGAATGAAAAAGTCTATATACATAAGTGCCTATGTGCACAGATGCCAGTGGTCCAGCATTACATTTTTAAGTTTCTGGAAAGATCCATAGCCTCTTTTCTGTCCTCCCTTTATCTAGATCTGACTCCACCTCCCTACATGGGCTATTTTTTGCCCCGGACTGACCTTCTGGCTTTAACCCTCAAGTCATAGGCCACCCCCCCACCCACTACTACACTCTCTGCAGCCCTCGGATTTTTCTCAGAATCCCCTCGACTTTAGAGACCTTCCCCTTCAGTGGACAGAGTTCAGATTTGTCAGGTACCTGAGCATGTCTTTGGTGGCTGGGTCTCCAGTCTCTTCTAAAAGCAAGTGTTGCAGAAGGCAGTGCTGTGACCTTATCATCCTGTGGATGATGTGGTTTCAGTTTCAGGTTAAATCTGAAAGAGATCCCAGATGGTTTATGAACTACTTAAATTAGATAAATTGTGTCTTGTTACTATACCTTTTGTATTCTCTATCTCTTTTTTTGTTTTAAGTTTTTCATTTTTGCTTTTCCTGGCGACAAGGTCCCATTAGCATGGATTAACCTCTTCCTGGCTTATGTCTATGAGGATAACCTGAACTCCTGAGTCCCTTGCCACAGGGTGTCACTGGCCCTGATGCCCCTTGCACCCCACACAGACTGAAGATATACAATCTGAGTCACTTCAGCCCCAGGATGAACTCCTGCATTGTGCCTGCCAATTAAAATTCCCCCTGGAAATCTGTGTAGCTTACATGGTGGAACTTGATTAAAACTGCAAAAATAGAACCCAGGACCCGATGATGCTAGGATATCACTCTACCAACCAAACTGCATTCTCATCCTGCATCTTTTCCTTTGTCTGTACCACAATGAGTCAGGACCTTCCTTTCTGTTATCCCCCACTGGACTGATGGGGATGGATGACTGTGTGTGTGTATGTGTGCGATATGTGGATACTTGGTTGGCCTTTGGCCTATATACCAGTTTTTCAAATTACATGTAAGCTTTGTGTGGTGACTCACACCTTTAATCCCAGCATTTGGGAGGCTAAGGCAGAAGGATCTCTAAGAATTTTAGATCAGACAGGTCTACATAGTGAGACCCTGTCAACAAAACAAAACCATCACCAAATGGCCTGAGTGCTTTATAGGAATTAGGTAAAGGTGAAGAGAGGTGACTATCTTGGTGGGTAGGGGGAGGGAGTGGAGACAGAATTTCTCTGTTTAGTCTTGGTTGGCCTGGAATTCACTCTGTAGACCAGGCTGTCCTCAAATTCACAAAGATCTACCTGCCTCTACCTCCCAAGTGCTGAGATTAAAAGCATACACCATTCCCATCAGGCTTGAGTGGTGACCAATTTTAAGACTCATTTCTACATCCTTAGTTGCCCCTGGCTACAATATTCTTGTATGCTGGCTAAAGCATATGAACAAAGTGTTGATGTTGGAGCTTCCTCTGGGAACTACCTGCTTCTTTCAGGATTGATCCTAGATCCATGTAATTAATTCATCAGCTTCTTGGGTCACTAAGACAAAGTCACTGGGAAACGTATTAGGTAGAAAACACCATAACAGACAGAGTGACCAGAAACCTATAACCTCCTATTCCATCATATTTATGGAAGAGATAAAATAAAGATGCTCCACCAAAATAATTCCCTGGAACCTTTTGTCATTCAGCTTTCATAACTGAACTTTTAGAAATATAACTTAGAAGTGTATACTTATGCTGGCGTATATTTGGAGGATCTAACAAATAAGAAACCTAACCCCCTTCCTCCTCTTATTTCCCTTTCCTATGTCTCTGCTTCCTCTCCCTCCTTTTTGGAGACAGGGTCTTGCAGTGTTTCCCAGGCTGGTACAAAGGCTTCGTCTCAAGCCTCCTCAGTGGCTGAGACTGTACACATTATTGCTCTGGCTCTAGTTCTCTCTTTGGTCTAGATCTCTCAGATAATCATGGTGCCACAGACTCCAGTGCTTTGGTTTGTTCCCACACTATTGGATAATCTCACAATGTTATATTGGACAAAACATATCATTGTCTGGTCCTGATGATTAGTATTGAACTAAAGGCACAAAATCCTACTGGCAGAGAAATGCAAACCTGAAAATTGTGCAAGTCCTCCCGGGTGTGATGACCTATGTGCCTGTAATCCCAGCACTTGGGAAATGGAGACAGGAAGACCAGGAATTCAAGGACAGCCTTGACTACATAACAAGTTTGATACCAGCTTGGACTACCTGAGAACTTATCTCAAAAACAGTGTGGGTGGGAGAATGTTAAGAAAGGTCCCTGCAGTAAGAAGATGCTCAAAGCCTGAATCAAAAAAAAAAAAAAAAAAAAATCCTGGGAAGAGGGGAGTGGGTAGACAAAACCTCCATATGCCAAGGTCACTGTGAAAAGAAGGAGGTGACAAAAATGTCATGAGGATGTTTTAACACTCAATACAATGCATGGGCATACCTTAACCAACGGTAGGAGCTAGCCATGGTGTTAGTGCTTAGGCACATGGTTGCAGTTCAGTTCTTCAGTGGTATAGGCAGTTAGATTGTAGGATATTCACACCAAATTCAGCTCAAACCATACCTGTCGATCAGAACTTCTGACCAGCCTCTTTTGTGCACCTTCTTGCCCAAGACTGGCTCAGAGGGGTCGTCCTTTTATAACTCTTGGTAAAGGGAAATCTAGGAGGGGTCTCTCTTGGTGATGATTTTCCAGGAGGGCTGGTCATTGCATCTGTTGATGTGTTGAAACAAGCCTGGACTCTAAGAGGGCCTACAGATCCAGCATCTTAAACATCTAATGCCTAAAACAAAAATGTCATAGTAAAGTAAAAATTGAAACCCAAGGGTATCCAGAAAGTGGATCCCAAGAGGTAGACAGATCAAAATCTTTTGATTCTATGGCACTGCTTGTTTCCTGAGGCTAAGACATTGAAGCCCTTATGAAGTGGGAGAATGCAATTCCCAGCATTTTACCTAGTAGCTCAGAAGTTCGTCCCATCTCTGTCTGCAGCAGAGATAGATGGTCCTTGAGGTATGGGTATGTCTCTTTCTTTCAACATGATAGCTAGCCTTTCCCTCTTCCACACACCTTGATTCAGGAACAAACCTGGGATCTGATTGGCTGGTTCACAGCTCCCAAACTCCAGCCTGAAACATATGGGAAGTCTTCAGATTGTAGCCTGCAATGATTCTTAGGTTCTAAGAGGGGAAAAGTCAGGGACAGGGTAATTTAGACTCCTCAGAAGGATGTGAGCTATCTGTTTAGTTGTCACAGATGCAAGGTGGGAAAGAGGGAGAAATACTGGAATGTGAATTTGAAGAATTGTAGTCAGATACTGAGATAAACTGGAAGAATTGAAAATCTGGTGAGTGTTGAAGGTCAGGTGGTGGTGACGAACACCTTTAGTCCCAGCACTTGGAAGGCAGAGACAGGCAGATTTCTGTGAGTTTTAGGTCATCCTGGTCTACATAGCAGTTCCAAGCGAGCTAGGACCACACAATGAGACCCTGTCTCAAAAAGATAAAAGTATGGGCAATTTGGGCATGATAAGAAGATTCAATAAAATTCATAGGTAGATACCAAAATTGGTTGCTCCATAGCAAAAATTAATTACATTTTACAAAGTAAGATCGAGTCTGTGTGTATATTAATGATCCACAATTCATAATGGAAGAAATAATGTAAAGAACATTAATAATGGCAGAATCTGATTGTTTATAGATGGGATCTCAGATAGCCTAGGCTTGCCTTAAAGCTATAATGTCGTAGGAGAACTTTATATCCCTGGTCTGCTTGCCTTTACCTCTCAAGTGCTGGGATTATAGGCCTGTGTCTCTGCTAAAGCTCCCTTCTCATCAGCTCTATAAATAAGCCCACACAACTTGGTCTATTGTACTCATGACACATAACTTTTTTCTATGAGTTTCTTTTGTTTTGCTTTCTATATATATTTCTGTTCATTTGGTTGCATCCTAAACTTCTTTTGCATTCTGGAATAGCTTGTCATTTTACTTTTATCACTTCCTTCACAAAAGCGCTTCCTGAACACCTTATCTACAAAGTCAATCTCTCTCTCTCTCTCTCTCTCTGTGTGTGTGTGTGTGTGTGTGTGTGTGTGTGTGTGTGTGTGTGTGTGTGCATGCGCGCTCTGTTGTTGAGGGTTGGTTACTTGTACATGAGCATATGGAGGCCATAGGTTAATGTCAGGTCTATTGTTCTTCACATTGAATTTACTTGAGCCAATCTGAGACTGTCTTTGTTTGCTGTGTGAAAGTTTTCCAGGGAGGGATGCTGGGGAGACAACCAGCTATCCCAGAATCTCAAAGGCATCTTAGCAGATAAAGCCTCATGCTTGTCCCTAGCCTCTCCTTGACCACAGGTGTGAGCTCTTCAGGAGTACTGAATAAATGTGAAAGAGATGGTTTTCTGTCTATTTGAACCAAACAAAATTAGCACATTATTGCTGGTCTGTACAGTCTAGAGAATTTGAATGAATTAGTTTATTGAGTATACTGCAAGCCAAAATATAAGAATTTATAGCAAGTCAGGTAGGTAGGTGGATGGATGGATGGATAGGTAGGTGGGTGGATGGATTGACAGGCAGACAGAAATAGATGATAGATAGATAGATAGATAGATAGATAGATAGATAGATAGATAGATAGAGGATAGATAGATAGATATAGATAGAAACATAATCAAAATGGGTGTTCAAAATTATCCAGCAGCAATCAGCTGATGAAACCCCATTAAGACCCTGTAGAGATCAAATTCTTTGTCAACATAAACACTAAACTTGGTTTATTTAAATTGACAAATATGAAAGGGAGGCTGGAGAGACAGCATATTAGAAAACCATACTTTGTTTCCCAGCACCCATGTTGGATCACTCATAACCACTTGTAACATTCCAGCTCACAGAGATCAGATGTCCTCTTCTGACCCCTGTGAACACCACCATCCCCATGTTCATGGCATACTCTCTCTTTCTCTCTCTCTCTCTCTCTTTCTTTCTCTCAAACACACACACAGAGACAGAGAGAGAGAGAACTAAATAAAAATAAACATATAAAAAGTACTAGAGATAATAAAAATGTGCTTCAGGTTTCACAAAGCCACAAAGACGGTTTTTGGACATTTCACCATATAGAGGCAATGTTCAAAGGGATAGCTATGTATGTATACATGTAACACTGTGGTTTAGTGTGTGATTGGCCACAAAAAGGGGATTAATCAAGGATGAGTGACCGAATGCATTGTTTGCAGTGGGATGTCCACAAAGCTCAAGGCAGACAGGGCTGCAGGTCACTAAGAGCATTGTTGGGAAAGGTAGATTGAGCCAAAACAATTGACCCCTGGCTGCTAAGCTTTCTGACAACTGTCTGCCTCAGTCCCTCTAGTGG